GCTCTTCCTGGTCATGGGTGCAGCACCCTGGTAGGCCAGTCTCTACCTGTACTGTAGATAAACAGAGGACTTCTGCCAGCCTAGAAGCTTTTAGCTCAGCCTAAAGCTTGAGCTAAAGGGTTAAATCCCCTCGCTGGCAGCTCTGGTAGGCGCTCAACCTCTGTTGATCCAGGTGATACACAGAGCTGGCCAGGAATTTTTTGATTAAACTCTTGTTTCATCAGAAAATGGTGATTTGTCAAAACTGAAACCTTGTGGGAAAAGGCTCGGCTTTGACAAATTTCTTGTTCTGAAAAATTTTCTGGAAAAAAAAAATTGAAATTTTGAAATTGTCGACATGTCCTGGTTTGACACTTGTGAAATGAAAAGTTCTGGAGTTTGGAATGATATTTTGTTTCAAAATTTAATTTAATTTGTAGGTGTTTTTTTTAAAGATGAGGACGAAACATTTCAATTGACACTAACTGGTTTTGGTTGTTTCGGGGGGGATTTTCGGTTGCTGAAAAATATTTTGTCCCAATTGACGACAGGAATTTTTTTTTTTGTTGGAAATTTTGAAAATTTCCCTGGGTCGGCAAAACAATTTGCTGCCTACTCCAGTGACAAACAGCATCCGCCGAGCAGGGATCCACGCTCTCTTGCCCGTGCTGAAGTCACCTTCTTGGAATGAGACTGTAGCGTGTTCACGCTGTGCTGGACATTTTGAGAGCGTGTAACCTTCCATCAGATCTCCAGCATCCCACCTCCCCAGCGACATGACACAACACACATGTGTTAACAGTACTTTGAGAATCGAAGGCCAGATTTTCTAGCCAGGCTGTTCGAGAAGGTATTCGTTTGCTTCTTTCTGCTTAGGTATTCGTTTCCTTCTTTTCTTCTGTGCACATGGCAGTCTGAGGTGTGGTGGCAGCTTGGGCAGATGTACTTATGCTAGCCTGACTAAAAATAACTGTGTATACACAGGGGCACAGGCTAGCAACACAAATCCATACCCAGGGTTCCCAGGGGGCTTTGACCGCTTACGCCACTGCTTGGGTAAAGCTACCCAAGCTGCAGTCATACCTTGGATTGCAGTGAAGACATACCCGCCATCATCTAAGACCATGGGCCATGCCTTTGAGTTAACAATGATGGTTTCCCCTCAGTGAAATCCCAGTCGAATTCCCACATAGCCAAGTTCAAGAGCTGCCTTCCTTTCCAGCTGATTTTTTCCACCGCTGAATGCAGTTGCTTTATGCATTTGAAGCTTTTTAAAAACATCAGTCTGACAGCGAGTGGGGTCATGTCTAGTTGCTGATGTCTCCGGCGAGGGAGCTGTAGTTTTTTTTCCCCCTCCTCTTTTTAAAAAATGCTTTGCTCAAGCGGTATGAAGAACACGTTCTCTGAAATACCATATAGTCTTTGGGGTTATGGGGACCAAATATTTGGCAACGGGCTCTCCAACCTGGCAGACAAAAGAATAACAAGATTCAATGGCTGGAAGCTGAAGCTAGACAAATTCAGACCGGAAATAAGGTGTACATTTTTAACAGGGAGGGTAATTAACCATTGGATCCATTTTCCAAGGGTTGTGGTGGATTCTCCATCGCTGGCCATTTTTAATCAGATTGGATGTCTTTCTCAAACAGAAATTCTGCTCTAGTTCAACAGAATTATTTCGGGGAAGTTCCTTGGCCAGGACAGCAAATTAGATGATCACAGTGGTCCCTTCTTGCTTTGGAATCTATGAATCTAGGTTGTTTCCACAGCAGAAAACTCGGAACAGTCTTGTACAGAGAGATGGAGGCTGATGCTCAGCACCTTGAAGGATTCAGGCCTTAAATAACATGAGAGTCCTTTGCTCTCCTTCAGGTCTGTGTGGCTCAAAAGCTTGTCACTTTCACCAACCGAAGTTGGTCCAATAGAAGATATCACCTCCCCCATCTTGTCTCTCAAAGACCCCACCACGGCCACAACACTGTAAACAATATTGAATCCTTCTCTTCCAGGTCTTCTGGCAAAGGTGCCAATGAGCACCAGTCATCTAAGTGCGGTGGATATTTGCCATCTAAGAACCAACAACTCAATTCATGTAGGTCACCGAATACCCATGAGATCATAGAATCATAGAAGATTAGGATTGGAAGAGACCTCAGGAGGTCATCTAGTCCACCCCCCTGCTAGGTGATAACAGTTTTTGCTCACTGCCAGCTTGGGCTGGCTTTGATGAGCAATTGGCATCTCATTCTGCTGCTAATCCCCTGAGGGCCCCCAGCCCATTGGAGTAACACACTGTGCTGTTGCTTATCTGAATAACACCCAAGATCAGAAATAGAACCAAACCTACTTATCAAGGGCCTGATCCAATGGAAAGACACTCATTTACTTCGGTAGGCTTTGACTCAGGCCCTAAGGGACATGATGAGTGTGCAGAAAAGTGGCTGAACATCCATCCTCTTCAGGGGCGTCTGGCCACTTCCACCAGAATCTGGCCACAACATGCTAGTGGTTTTGACATGAATGCAGGAGTTACATTTTTATGTGTCACCTAGCAGTGTCTTTATCCTTATGGAACTCTATATCTATTGTATTAAGACCCAAGCTTGTGCCTATTGAAGGCAATGGCAAAACTCCCATTTGATTTCAGTGGGAATAGAATCTGCTATATTAAGAGTTGCAAGTGCTTCCTCCCCTCCCCCCCGCGTGATGCATTGCTTGAGTGAATTTCGATCTCTTTTCCAGCTCTTTGAGTAGCATGAGAATTTAGCTTCTTGCATTTAGCTATGTTTTGCGCAATTCTGTGATCATTACAGAACATGAAAGCAACAAAACTAAGAAATGTTTTGTTCATTAAAGAGGCTACAAATGAAAACTCCCCTCCCCAATACATCATGGATTTGGCCCATTCCGCCTCCTGTTTCCTCCATGTAAAGAGACAATGTGGATTCTCTACAATCCAATCCACACAGGGCAGCAACTCTCTTGTTTTTAAATCCTGTGCCTCATCTAAGGGGGAAACATCAATCTACTGCACAGGTGCAGCAAATACACCTGAGTCAGCATCAGTGGATGACTTTGGTTTTACCCCCTGGACATGGTCTGCATAATGGAAAATTGATTTCTGAAATAAAGGTGAAGAATTTAATTGGAAGCAGCCAAGCAGCTGACAAACAGAATGCTCTGCAGGGTGGGGACAAAGCTGGATGCGCAGTGAAGTGTAAGAGAAGGTGAGTGAATCCTTTCTCTCTATATTTTGCAATGGCTCACTTCAGTTTCATGCTGAATTCAGCTAACTTACATTGACAAATCTTCTGTCCTTGAAAACCAGAAATGGATCCGAAGCACTGCTCCTACGCTTTCCTCGGCCATCAGGTCCCCCACCTTCCCTTCACCCACACCGTCCCACCTCTCTGTTGCTCTGCACTAACAGAGAACCAGTAAATGTCAGTAAATCTACTCCTTACAAAACAGGGTAAGAAGGCCGGTCCGGACAGCTGTGTGTGTTCTGGTGTTACCTGAATAAGCAGGACGGACAGCAGCCAATCTGCAAGGCACATGCAAAAACCAAACTGCAGGCTTGACCCTCATTTACATCTGTGTAACCCTGTTGGATCTGGAGGTCTCTTTAAAGCAGAGAGGGGCTGAAACCACACTCTTTCAATCATGATCTCAAACTAGCCCAAACTGCAAGGACTTAGACCTAGGATTTTGGTTCAGCCCAGTGTGAAGAGAGCGGTCATTTAAAGAATTCCAATGGGGGAGTTGGCTTTCAAATTTATCCCAGTTCTAATGCAAAGCCTGCTTCACTCTAAGAAAAGGAGGCCTTGTGGCACCTTAGAGACTAATTTCAGAGTAGCAGCCGTGTTAGTCTGTATTTGCAAAAAGAAAAGGAGGACTTGTGGCACCTTAGAGACTAACCAATTTATTTGAGCATAAGCTTTCGTGAGCTACAGCTCACTTCATCGGAGGCATTACAATCGGATGCAAGTGAGCTGTAGCTCACGAAAGCTTATGCTCAAATAAATTGGTTTGTCTCTAAGGTGCCACGAGTCCTCCTTTTCTTTTTGCGGATACAGACTAACACGGCTGCTACTCTGAAACCTGTTTCACTCTGGGTCTCAGTCTGTTCTCACAGCAGATAGCCCAGTCTGCATTTAAGCAACCACCGCTGAAAGAGAAGCTGGTCTTAAATGCATAGGCCTACATTTTAAGTGACTGGTTGTTTTGATTGCCTCTGTTTTTGGATTGCCAACAGGAGCCACCTTTTAAAAGAAGCTGATTTTCAGAGGTGCTGTGCCCTGCCAGTGGACAGTTCCTGCAATTGCAGTTGTAGGTGATGATGCCATTCAAGTCAAATTGAGCACTCAAAATCACTAGCCGTTTGGAAATCTTGGGCCATAAAGATGACAGGTCAGTGATTTGTTGGGGGAAGGGTCAAAGGCTGAGTAATAGCCCCTCTTCTTGGTCTTCCTTTTCCCATTCCCATCCCCAAGGATGAAAAAAAACAACCCTATATGTTCGCTTGCCCCATTCAGTCGCATTTTTGTCAGGGCTCTGCCTGATCCCTCGCTGACTCTTGCCCTGCGTGAGCCCCCAGCTCTGAGATAGTGGTGGCATCCCACCGGCATCCCTTCCAGGAATGGCAGCGATCTCTGACAGCTTTGCCTACACCTTCCCTGCTCTCCCGCCATGGCCCACCCCTCCTTTGTATCCTTCACCCTTTCTGGCGATTGTTGCAAGCAGCTGCATCCTCTGCCAGCCCCGTGGGGCCACCTTGCCCAAGCACCCCCCCTTCCCCTGTCAATCCTGGGGAGACACACACATTGATTCGGTGGCAGGCCCCAGCTGCAGCCAGCACTTGCTGATCAAGCGAATCTCAGGCAAGGAGAAAGGCAAGGGCCTCCCTTTCAGCCCCTTCGCTCCCTCCTCCCTGCCAGGCAGATTTGCAGCTGACTGGGCGTTGTTAATTAGCAGGAGGAAGAGGATTGGTGTTTGCGGGGCTATATAAGGGGAGAGCCAGGCGCATTGTCCTCCCCCCATTTCTGTGCATCACCCACCCAGCCTTGTCCCTTCCCTGCCTGCATCTCCCCCCAACCCAGCCTCACCATGAGCTACAGCAGCGACCTGCTCTACCCACCCTCCTCCTACAAGAAGATCTTCGGGGAGTCCCCTCGCCTCTCCAGCAGGGTTTACAACAGCTCAGCCGCTCCCCGGGCTGCCGGCTACCGCGCCCCCCCTGCCAGGGACTCCTACGCCTCCTCCTATCGCAAGCTGGCCGTGCCCAGCTCCGTGGACCACCTGGAGCTGCTGTCCCAGCCCAGCGCGGTGAGCAACGAGCTGAAAATCGTGCGCACCAACGAGAAGGAGCAGCTGCAAGGGCTCAACGACCGCTTCGTGACCTACATCGAGAAGGTGCATCAGCTGGAGCAGCACAACCGGCTGCTGGAGGCCGAGGTCTCGCTGCTGCGCCAGCGCCAGGCGGAGCCCTCCCGCCTGCAGCAGCTCTACGAGCAGGAGATCCGCGAGCTGCGCTCGCAGGCGGAGGGGCTGCGCCACGAGCGGGACGAGGCGCAGCTGGAGAGCCAGCGGCTGGCGCAGGGGCTGGAGCGCCTGCGGGAGCAGTGCCAGGAGGAGGCGCGCCGGCGGGAGGAGGCCGAGCTGGCCCTGCGCGAGTACAGGAAGGACGTGGACCACGCCACCCTGGCCCGGCTGGAGCTGGAGAAGAAGGTGGAGGCGCTGCTGGACGAGATCGCCTTCCTCCGGAAGGTGCACGAGGAGGAGGTGGCGGAGCTGCAAGCCGCGCTGCAGGATGCGCAGGTACCGGCGGCTTCCGCGCCTGCCCCTGCCCAGCCCTGCGCTCCGCTCCCCTCCGCCCCTGCGCTCCGCTCCCAGCCCTGCGCGCTCCCCTCGCCGCCTGCCCCTGCCCAGCCCTGCGCGCTCCCCTCGCCGCCTGCCCCTGCCCAGCCCTGCGCTCCGCTCCCCTCCGCCCCTGCGCTCCGCTCCCAGCCCTGCGCGCTCCCCTCGCCGCCTGCCCCTGCCTAGCCCTGCGCGCTCCCCTCGCCGCCTGCCCCTGCCCAGCCCTGCGCGCTCCCCTCGCCGCCTGCCCCTGCCCCTGCCCCTGCGCTCCGCTCCCAGCCCCTGCCCCGCTCCAGCTCCCCTCCCCCTCCCCGCCTGCCTGCCCCTGCCCCTGCGCTCCGCTCCCCTCCCCTCGGCGCCTGCCCCTGCCCCTGCCCCTGCGCTCCCCTCCCCTCGGCGTCTGCCCCTGCCCCTGCCCAGCCCTGCGCTCCCCTCCCCTCCCCTCCCCGCCTGCCCCTGCCCAGCCCTGCGCTCCCCCCTCCCCTCCCCGCCTGCCCCTGCCCAGCCCTGCGCTCCCCTCCCCTCCCCTCCCCGCCTGCCCCTGCCCAGCCCTGCGCTCCCCTCCCCTCCCCCTCCCCGCCTGCCCCTGCCCAGCCCTGCGCTCCCCTCCCCTCCCCTCCCCGCCTGCCCCTGCCCAGCCCTGCGCTCCCCTCCCCCTCCCCTCCCCGCCTGCCCCTGCCCAGCCCTGCGCTCCGCTCCCCTCCTGCCTCTGCGCTCCGCTCCCCCCTGCCCCGCGCTCCCCTCCCCGCCTGGCCCCGCGCAGCCCTGCGCTCCACTCCCCTCCCCGCCTGCCCCTCCGCTCCCCTCCTTCTGTCCCTGCCCAGCGCTCCCCCCCCCACGCTGCGCTCCCCTCCCCTCCTAGCCTGCCCAGCGCTGCGCTCCCCTCCTGCCACTGTGCAGCATCCCCCGGCCCTGGCCACCTCTCCCTGCGCTTCTCTCCCCCTGTCCCTGCCCAGCCCTGCCCTGTCCTAGCCTCCCCCTACCTCGCTGCGCTCCGCTCCGCTCCCCCCGCCCCTGCTCAGCATCCCTCTGACCTTCTCTCCCTGCACTCCGATCCCCTGCCCAGCCCTGCGCTCCCATCCCCGGGACACCTCTCAGCCCTGTGCTCCCCTCCCCCTGCCCCAGCCCAGCCCTGAACTCCCCTCTCTCTGCACTCCCTGCCCCTACCCTTCCCTGCGCTCCTCTCCCCTCCTCCCTCCCGCTGCCCAGCCCTGCTCTCTCTTCCTCTCCCCTCCCCTCTGTTCCTGCCCAGCCCCCTGTTCTGTATCCCCCCACAGACCAACACTGCTGCACTGCGGTCTCCCCCCCCATCCCTGCCCAGCGCTCCCTGTTCTGTATCCCCCCACAGACCAGCACTGCTGTCCCCCGCCCCATCCCTGCCCAGCGCAGCACTCCCCTTTCTGTATCCCGCCTTCCCAGTGCTCCCCTCCCCGCAGGATGCCAAACAGCAGTCTCCCCAGGGTGGCACATACCCCCAAGGGCTCGGTGTTCACCTCCAGGATTCAACCACCCCAGACCCCCTTCCACCGCCTGCATCCCCAGGTGCCCAGCACCCTTCTCCCCTCCGCATGCCATGTGGATAGGGTTTGCCTTCGCTCACCCCCAGTATCCATCGCCTCCTAAGGAGTGCTACACACACGCAAACCTCCTGTGTGCTGGATAGAGTGTGTGCTACACACATGCACCCCTCCTTCTCTGTGCTGGATAAAGTCTGTGCTATACACACACAGTGTGTACTGTGTACTGGATGAGGTGTGTTATACGCTCCGATTTCCTCGCTTCTGTGTGTGCTAGATGGATAGGGTGTGGCATACACGCACAATACTGCCCTCCTCCTCTATGCTGTGCATCACACCACTGCCCTCATCCCCACCCCATAATTTTATACTTCCATAGGCTGAGCATATAGGACTGTTACATACACTCCCCCTATTCTCTTCCTCATACATATGCTGAATGGATCGATTCTAGATCCTTTGCACTGGGCACAAAGCTATTGCAGTCGGTCGGTCGTTGGAAGGTTATCTTCATTAAGGTAGACATTTGACTGGCTCCCCTCATGGTGTTGGATAGCTACAGGATGCAAAGGCACTGTGTGCCGGCATGATCCCAATCCTCCTTCCCTATATTGAATGGGTAATAGGGTACTTACATCTTCTGCTTTTCTGATTACATTGTATTTGGCATAAAGTCGCCTGGAAGGTTAAATCAGCGCCAGATCTCCTTTGTGTTGAGTATTGGATTGTCTCACATTAGACTATTGGAAGTGTGATTCAGTTCTTTGAATACCATAGCAAACTGTACCTTGATTACATTATTGCTAAGCCCTGCTGGGAACATAGCATCCTATGCTGCAGCACCATGGGTACAATAGGTACCTCGCGCCCACCCTGCAGAGCACACACAATGCCCATCTTTGTGCCTGAGCCATGTGCTAGTGGAATGAAAGGACCGAAGCATAGAAAAGAAGGAAAGCTCGGTCCTGGCTTCATTCATCAGTCTGCGTTTCAAGTGAAGTCGTGGGACTATTTCCGTACGTGTTGGGAGGAAAGAATGAAGCCTGCTTAATGCAAAATGTAGCTAACCCACGTTCATTCTCTGATGCACACGAGAATAGCGGTTATCCTTATGAGCTTGTTATACGGAGGTTTAATGGGCGGCTCAGTGACAACTCTTTTGTCATGTAGGTTTCGTTAATGTCCACTTTTGCAAGGTATTGTCGGACAAATGTTAAACTGCGTGTAAAGGTATTAAAACACCAGATCCATAAGGACAAACCCGGAGCAGCTTAGTGAAGCGGCTTTAGAGCTACAGTTGCATTATTGATGGAAACGGATGGCTCTCCTGAGCACTGAAATCAATAGCTGGTGCCGAGGTATTGTAATGCAGCCTTGATTATCCAGCTGGAATCATAGGGCAGGGAGGGAGTTGAGAGATCATCAAGTCCGGCCCCCTGTGCTGAGGCAGAACCAAGTAAACGTAGACTGTCCCCGAGAGGTGTTTGTCCAGCCTGTCCATTGGAGGTTTTATGATGGGGACTCCACAAGCTCCTTTGGAAGCCTGTTCCAGAGCTTACTACCCTTAAGCCTGGCCTACACTGAGGGGGGTATGGATCTAAGATACGCAACTTCAGCTACGGGAACGCACGTATCTTAGATCGACTTAGAATCACTTACTTTGCGTCCTCGCGGCACAGGATCGACGGCCGCCGCTCCCCCGTCGACTCCGCTTCTGCCTCGCGCCGTGGTGGAGTTCCGGAGTCGATGGCAGAGTGATCGGGCATCGATTTGTCGCGTCTACACTAATGTGATAAATCGATCCCCGCTAGATGGATCACTACCCGCCAATCTGGCGGATAGTGTAGACGTGGCCTTAGAGTTGCTGCAGATTAAGCCCATTATGTCTTGTCCTGCCTTGCACATGGAGAACAATTGATCACCATCTTCTTTATAACATCTCTGACCGTATTTGAAGACTGTTATCAGGTCCCCCCTCAGTCTTCTTTTCTGAAGACTAAACTTGCCCAGGTTTTTTAACCTTTCCTCGTAGATCAGGTTTTCTAAACTTTTGTTGCTCTCCTCTGGCCTCTCTCCAACTTATCCACATCTTTCCAAAAGTGTAGCACCCAGAATTTGACACAGTGCTCCAGCTGGGGCCTCACCAGTGCCGAGTAGAACAGGACAGTTACCTCCTGTTAACTGCATCACACCATTGTCTCCTGTTCAATTTGTGGTCCACTACAACCCCCATACCCTTTCCAGCAGTACTGCCGCCAACCAGTTATTCCCCATCTTGTAGCTGTGCATTTGATTTTTCCTTCCAAAGTGTGGTTCTTTACACTTTTCTTTCCTGAATTTCATCTTGTTGATTTCAGACCAATTCTCCAATTTGTCAAGGTCACTTTGAATTCTAATCCTGTCCTCCAAAGTGTTTGCAACCGCTCCCAGCCTGGTGTCATCTGCAAATTTTATAAGCACGCTTTCCACTCCATTATGCAAATCATTAATAAAAATATTAAATATCTTCAGACCCAGGACTGACCCCTGTGGGACCCCACTGGATACACCTTCCCAGTTGGACAGTGAACCATTGATAACAATTCTTTGAGTATGGTCTTTCAATCAGTTGTGCACCCACCTTCTAGTAATTCCAGCTAGACTACATTTTGCTAGTTTGCTTATGAGAATGTGATGTGGGACAGTGTCAAAAGCCTTTCTAAAATAAAGATGTATCCCATCTACTCCTTCCCCCTATCTGCTGGGCCAGTAACCCTGTCAGAGAAGGAAATTAGGTTGGTTTGGCATGATTTGTTCTTGACAAATCTATGCTGGTTAGTCCTTGTAATCCTATTATCCTCTAGGTGCTCACAAATTGATTGTTCAATAATTTGTTCTGGTATCTTTCCAGGTATTAAAGTTAGGCTGACTGGACTATAATTTCCAGGGTGGTCTTTGTTGCCATTCTTAAAAACAGATCCTATGTTTGCCCATTACTCTGGGACCTCACCCATCCACAATGGATTTTCCCTGAGATGTCATGAGGGATGCAGAATACATTCAGATGACCAAAGCTTTGGCTAATGAAGGGGAATTTTCATTTAATTTATGCAGAGGAAGGTTGGTTTTATGGCTACAGCGCTGGACTGGGATTTGAGATGAGCTCTGCTACAGATTTCTTGGGTGACTTTGGCAAGTCGCTTAGTCTGACCCTGACTTAGTTTCCTGTCTGTAATATCAGGACAGTACTCTCCCATTCTTTGTCTCTCTAGATCATAAACTGTCAGGGGTGGGTAGGGAATGTCTCAATCTTCGTATGTACAGTACTTAGCCCATTGGGGCACGTAGATATAATTGTGATAATACCACAAATAGATTTTGGGGGGGGGGGCTAGGCAGAGAAGGGTACAACTCTGGATAGAACAGGGAAATTTGACTATGGCTGCAATAATCAAGGTTGTGCTGTATTCTCAGAGTGTGTTAAAACCTAGAAATATGAATCTTCTTCCACTTTGTTCTCTCTTTCTTGCTTGTTTTGCTTGTTCCTCGGACAGCGGCGTTCAGTCCCTCCTTAACTGTGCTACTTGCAGTAAATACATAAGTTTTAGTGCTTTGCTAGATTGGAGCCAGGGGGCTCTGCACCTTACAGGATCAAGCCAGCATAATGAGGCCACTTCAGCCTTGGAGTTGCATCTGCTTACACTACAGCTGACTTTGACCCAGTACATTCCTGAATACATGAATATTTGAACTTCTCCTAGACAAGGAGCTGAAGCAGATTTCATTTAAAGGGGGACTTTCCCATACATTTGCAATTAGAGGTTTGATTTCACTTGTGACACCCCCCCCCCCGGTGTAATGGGGTATTAATGATACTGGCAAATGCCATTCCTTTTGCAGATTTGCTACAATGTCCTTTGTTTGCAAGGTTAAACTCCACTTCCGGAATGCCATTCATTTCTAATACATAACTTACCTTCATACATAGGACTAAATCCATTGGGAAAGTTGCCCCTGCTTATTCCATATTCTGCGGTCCATGTTCCTCAGTGAGGAACTTCACTGGCTGTATTATAATGAATATGTGCAGGCATCTGATGAGCAAACCCTAAAATGAGCTCCTATATCATGGCCATAATCCACCATCTGTATGAAAATTCACTGACAGACCAATAACTTTCTGGCTTTCCTAATACTTTGCAGCATATGGCCCTGGGGGTTGTGGAAAACTTTCAGTGGGTAAAAATCTGTAATCTGCAGAGCTACAGAAAATGCAGCAGGCCCTGAGGGCTGGACTGAGAAAGCAATGCATTGTGTTTGCCCACAGTTCTGTCATTTTCCTCCATCAAATGGGGGAGCAATAAACCAGTTACATTTGCTCATTTAGATTCAGATTGAACGCTGACCGAAGGCCAGCACTATACAGAATTATGCGGAAACACTGGACAATTTAAATAAATGAGTCCTTTCACTCTTGGGTGGTGGTACGGTAGCAATATGGCAACACTTAGCAGAGCTGTGTGAAGGATCAAAAAAGAACTTTAATATAAACTATTTTGCTAACCGAACCTGCACAACTTGTATGTCTAAAATAAATGCTGTACCTGTCAGTCTTTGCTCCTCTGATGCATTTCTCTGAACCCAGGTTAATTTGCTCTGTTTGCTCTGAGATATTGGTCAATATCTATCTCTACCAACCTATCTACCTCCCTCCATACACACCCTTTCTTTCTCTATCTACGCACAAGAGAGAGAATGTCTGTCAATGCAGCTATCTAGCTATACCTGTCCATCTGTGTCTTTTGCCTCTCTGGTCTTTCTGCATACATATTTACTCACCGTGTATGGCTATATAGGCACTGGGCAGAGGGCATGGCGGATGATGAGCTGGTATAAATTGACATCGCTCCACTAACTTCAGAGGAGCTATGCAGATTTACACCAGCTAAGGATCTGGTCCCATATAATTTTGTATTTTATAGCTATGCCATATCACACACATGTGGAGGTGAGGGTTCTGCAATGTTCCCCCGGCTATGTGATATTCTGTCATGCACCAGTGACTGCCCGCTTCCTGTCCACCAATCCATTTCGTTAGGACTTATTCCTGCCCCAAGTATCTGAATAATTTGGCTAGCTGCTGGGGAAACCCCACAGGGGCAATCAACATCTCCCCCTGCCCTCAGGACTTCCCGTGACGGCAGATGAGCTCCAGGACCGTGCATGCCTGTGGAGAGAAGAGCCGTGTAGCACTAAATCCCCTGACTTCATTTCTACCTTTTCCTTAATTCAAAGAGCCTCTGTATTGGGACTGCATGGAGCTGGGCTCCACCGCTCACAAGAGGTGTGGTCCTCCATATGGGAGCCCTTCATCCTCCAGCTTGCTCCATGCAGAGGAAACACGCTGTTCTATTGTGTCCTGAGCCCTCCGGCTCTGCATGGGGGACAAGGGGAAGGATCTGAGCCTTCATTCAGGGCGTACAGCCTAGGATGGCAGGGAACAGCCCCGAGCAGCTTCACTGTCTGTATTCCTATCCGTTTCCCCAAATTTCATACTGTATGCTGTATGTGGGGTGGGGTCCCTTCCTTCTGTGCCTTCTCCAGGTCTCGGTGGAGGTGGACGTGAGCAAGCCTGACCTCACGGCCGCCTTGAAGGAGATCCGCATGCAGTACGAGGTCCTTTCCGCCCGGAACCAGCAGTCTGCCGAAGAGTGGTACAAATCCAAATTCGCCAACTTCACCGAGGAGGCGGCTCGCAGCAGTGACAGCATCCGCCAGGCCAAGGAGGAGATCACGGAATACCGGCGCCAGCTGCAGGCCCGCAACATCGAGATCGAGGCACTGCGGAATGCCAACGAGTCCCTGGAGAGGCAGCTGCAGGAAGCGGAGGAGAGGAGCAATGGGGAGATCCATAATCTGCAGGTAGTTGACACTTGTCAAAAGACACTGGCTTCTTATTTGTTTCCAGCTCAAGAGCTCACTCGCAGCCCTACGCATCAGAGACTCAAGTGGTAAAATGCCAGATATGCATCTAGCAAAGATTATCCTGGGGTTTTGTCTTTCCTGATAGCTTGTGCAGGCCACGCTTTTGGGTATGTTTGCACTGGGAAGAAGACCGTCCTTACACAGAGATGGGATGTACTTAGCAAACCTTGCACTGAATGGTAGGGGGAGAGATTATGTTAGTAGCATTTCTATAATATCTCCCGCCTGTGATCTTCAAACACTTTGAAAACATTCATTCGCTACCCCCCCTCCAGCCCCCGGTGGGGTAGATTGTAAGTATTATTAGCCCCATGTCTCAGCTTGGGAAACTGAGGCGCAAAGCATTCATTGATCTTTGGGGGCCTCTGTTTTTTGGGTGTCCACTGTAGGGCTGATTCCCAGAGGTGCTGGCCTCCTCAAATTCCAGTTGTACCTCCCAAATTATTGGACTTGTTTGAAACTGTAGATCTAAGCGACTTGCCCAAAATCAGGCTGTGAGCTAACAATCGAACCCAGGAGTCCAGGCTTCTAGTCTCGTGATTTGACTATTAGACAAAATAATAATCGCATGAACTCCTTTGATGAGGTACAGAGCTCATTTGCTAGAACAGCAGACGTCTGATGTGCTGGGGAAGGGACCAGCCAAATGAATGTTTGCTCGTATTAGTAAATGTATAGGATCGCTACTGAGATTTGGGACATGCACTGTATAAACACATAAGACAATCCCTGCCCTGAGGAGACTGCAGTTGAAATAAACAAGGCAGAGGTGGGAGGGGAAAGAGGTGAAATGACTTGCTCTGCTCAATCAGCAAGTCAATGTCATAGCCAGGAATAGAAACCCAGTCCAGTCTGAGTCCCAGTCCAGCACTCTAATCCACTGGACCACACTGATTTTTCCTCCTGAGATCAGTTTGAACAACATATCTGGAAGGAGGGGCACTAAAAGCAAATGAGAGGGAACTATTGACATGATCAAAATGTTCTCCCTTCCACTTTTTGTTCTGCAGGAGACTATTAACCAGCTTGAAAATGCTCTAAGGACGACCAAGGGAGAGATGGCTCGCCACCTCCGAGAGTACCAAGACCTGCTGAATGTGAAAATGGCCCTGGATATTGAAATAGCTGCATACAGGTAAAACAATACCAAGAGGCCTTCTTCCCTGGTGGCTTTGGGGATGTTTGATGCTGGTGGTCACACATCTCTGTTTGCGTAGAGAGAAACAAATACCCAGAAACATTGTACCCCTGGATGTTCTGTAATATTGTGTAGCAATCCAGCTGCGCAGTTCTGTAATGAGAAAAAACAGATTTATTGCACCAGATCCCCAGGTTTGGCTCAGGGTTAGAACTGGTCAAAAGTCGCCCGCCCCCCCCCCCATTGCTCCTATTTTTACTCCTATCCTCCTCATACACATACACATTTTAAAGTTTCTAGAGATTAGATGATCATAATGGTCCCTTCTGGCCTTAGAATCTATTAGTCTGACCTCCTGCATAACACAGGGCAGAGAACGTCCCCAAAAATAATTCCTAGAGCAGATCCTTTAAAAAAACATCCAAAAAGGAATCCACAGTGATATGTATTAGGAAACCTAGATCAAAATGCCATCTGTCTGTTCAGGTCTTCAAGCTGGGATTTTCAAATGACCGAAGGGAGTTAGGTGCTCGTATTCCATTTTAAACAGGAATATGGTATCCAGCTCCCTTATTCACCTTCGAAGATCCCTGACATATATCCCTGTCATCACCATGTTGCCTGGACACTCGTCTCCATGGCATCTGAGTCGTGCATCACACTCTCGTCAGGGAATACAGAACCCTAAGCCTCTCTTACCCTTCTGCCTCGACAAGTGAGAGCTTTGCGGCTGCTAAACTGGGCATCAGCTCCCTGATGCTCCAGTGTGTCTGCCTTGCTAATGAGCTCCTCCAGACTCTGCCAGTCCAAACCTGGCCCTGCAGGTAAGAATCCGTGAAGCCCAGGTCCTGAGTTCCGCAGAGACATCTCCCCGCAGCGTCCACTCCTTCTCTCCGGCCATGCTTAGAAATTATGAAGTTTGCTGCCTCTGAAGAGACAGAGCACACACCAGCCTGTTTGGCTGAGGACTAACACATCAATATAACAGTGCTGAGGTGGTTTTGTATAAAACAAGAATAAGTTTAATAAAGAGCACAGATTTAAGTGATATAAGGCAAGAATAAAAGAGAAAAAAGGATTAAACAATACAAAAATAACATGCTTTCTAGTGCCTAAAATTTAATTCTAGCTACATCTTTGCAGAAAACAGTTCCTTGCGTGCAGTAAATTATCAGCAGGGCTCTACCATTTACAGGCTCAGAGGGTGCTGTACCATATGTCCCCAAGTGATGGATAACTAAGGGTTCTTTCCCTTTCTTTTTATAGTCCGGTGAACCTTTGAAGTGTATCTCCATGTAAAGTTTTTCTCCTCTCCTGCTTGTGCAGATGCCAGGCTGTCTCCTTCCTCCTCTGATCAATCTGTTTCTCTGCTTGGCTTAATCACTTGTTTTCCCTTTGATGTAAATGTCTTTCCATTGTCTCTGGCCTCACCTTGCTCAATATGCGTTGGGGATGTAGGCAAACAAACAGCCAAGACAGCATTCCTTTGTCAAGGGCAGGCTGCCTCCAAAAGCCTATTTTAAGAACATATTTCCAGCACACATCTGTAACGCTGTCTACGCGACCTGGACACGCACTCCGCGATGATATTCGTGACCAGCGTGTCACCAGTTTTTATCTGATTCCTTCCAAGACACGGTTTGGCTGGATAGTCTGACAGTGGTGTATGGACTCTGCCCATGAAGTAGCTCTTAGGGTCTCAGTAGCCTTCTGTCAATAGTGTGTAATAAAATGCTGAGCCTGCGGTAAAGGCTGTTCCTTCCTGGGGGCAATGTGCTGATTGAGGCCTTGGCCGCTTTCCCATGGGGGGCGGGGCGGGGTGAGGGGGGAGTTCCCGTTGCCCGGCTCAATGAAAACTGATCTGGGGAGGATATTTTAGAAAGGAGAAGGCAGGGATCTGAAATCTCTAGTAGCAGCTTCATTGCACCTTTCTTGGTGTTTCCCTCTTCCCACCCCCAGGAAATTACTGGAAGGGGAGGAAACGCGGCTAAGCACCATCAGCAGCGGGAACACCTTCGGCCTTGGCTACACGTTCTCGTCTAGCCCCTTCTCCGGCGCAAAAGCCTTCTCCACCAGCACGGTCACCGTCAGGAGGGAGGAGAAGCGAGACCTGCAGGAAAGCATCAAGGACCCCAGACTTTCAGAGGAGCCAAAGCCTGCCGAGGAAGATCAGCCCGGAGAAGAGAAGGTCGAAGCCGCCCCAGCCAAGAACTAAACTGGAGCGAAATCACTATGCGCCTCCCCAAGGGGAAAAGGAGTCCCTCACAGGCGAGAGATTACGTTGTGTCCTAATGTAGCCAATTACAGTAACACTGAGCGGCAGCCTTGTCCAGTGGCTAGAGCTCCGGACTGGGACTCAGAGACCTGGGTTCTAGTCCCAGCTCTGCCACTGGCCTGCTGGGTGACCTTGGGCAAGTCACTTCACCTCCCCGTGCCTCAGTTTCCTCTCTCACCGTGTCTATGTAGATTGTAAGCTTCTCTGGGCAGGGACTGTCTCTGGCTATGTGTTTGTACAGCGCCTAGCACAATGGGGCCTTGATCTCCGTTGGAACCTTTGGTGCTACTATAATAATGCTTGTAGAACAAAGGTATGTATCTGCGTCCCGTGCCCTCTCCAGGCTAGACTTCCAGGCCCTCATCCCCTTCACACTGCACATGGTGGTAAAACATTCTAGTGACTTCAGCGGGGTCAGAATTGGGCCCCTACATAAGTGTCCAGGGCTTCAGAGCCCTGACCCCTCGCTCCCACACTCTGCAGTGCACCGTTAGCTGCTCCAACCCCTATTCTCTCCGTTGCAGTTTATAGAGTAGGCTCAGGTGAATGGGAGGTTGGCTGGTGCAGCTAGATGCACAGGGCCAAACCTTGGTCCCTGTTGAAGTAAAATTGAAACTCCCATAGATTCCAGGGGACCATTTTATTGGCCCAAAGCCTGGGAAACTTGGTCCAGTTGCCTGAAAGGGTTGGGAGCCAAAGCCAGTAAATACCCTATGGAAACCAAGTGGGTGTAAATGGTTTGTTGAAAGGCCACTAGACACACCTATTATTCAGCAATAGCTAGAGCAGCGTTTCCCAAACTGTGGGTCACCACCCCGAATAGGGACGGAACATCAGCAGATGGCGATCCCTAGTGTTCAGAGGACACCATTTTACGCTGCACAGCGTGACCTCGCACATATGGTGCGTGCAAGGTCACGATGCCCGGAGGGCGCCATTTTGCTCTACAAAATGGCTTCCTCCGCACAGTGAGCCCTCGTATGCACTGCATGGATGAGGTCATGCTGTGTGGAGGATGCTATGTGGCTCTTCAAAATGGCATCCTCCAGGCTGTCTGGAGTCCCGGGAGGAAACAATTCATTAAAATGGGGTTGTGCCAGCAAAAGGTTTGGGAACCCTCACTCTACACCTCTTACACCTTGTTCTGCCTTTCCTGGGTCGGCTTAGCTATACCAGCAAACCCTTTCTAGTGTAGATAAGGCCATGCATGACAAGAGGAGAGAGAGAATAGCTCTGCTTTAGGGCCAGATTCATTTACTCACACTGAATAGCACCTTACTCCATAAGTGGTCTCATTGGGGGTACTAGCAAGGGTATCAGTGTAAAAAAAAAGGAAAAAGGGGGGTATTAAGAATCTGGCCCTTTGAGATAGATTTTCACAAGAGCACACTTGGCGTGTTTGGTGTTGAGCTTTTCTGCCAATTTAGCCCTTCTTGATTAATAGTGGATTTATAGCTCTTCTTTAAGAAAACAGGATTTCGGGAGCGTAGGTCAGATTGCATCAGTAATATTTTCTGGGAACGGCCATCTGAAGACGTGTAACATCTGAAACAATGAAGATGTCGCGGAAATTCAGGTGCTGTAATTATGATACAGAGAGATGGTCTGTAAACAGTCTGATATCTTTCAGTTCACATCCGGGTGGTGTTTGTCTGTGTCTCCTCCAACCCACGAATGTACCCAGGGGGCGGAAAAGAATTGTATCATGAAAGTGAATGTTCTGTAGAAAGAATTAGCTTGATATTGGGGGGAGGGATAGCTCAGTGGTTTGAGCATTGGCCTGCTAAACCCAGGGTTGTGAGTTCAATCTTTGAGGGGGCCATTTAGGGATCTGGAGCAAAAATTGGGGATTGGCCCTGCTTTGAGCAGAGGGTTGGACTAGGTGACCTCCTGAGGTCCCTTCCAACCCTGATATTCTGAATGTAGGGGAGACCGCGATTGATCGCTGGGAACACTAGAGTTCAGCTTGAGGTAGGCTTAAAACTTTAATCTAGAGCTGGTCATAATGCTTCCGAATTTCAAAACTTTGACAGTTTCAGAATTTGACCTTTGAAGGGGAAAAAAATTGGGAAGAAACTTTCTCCCCATTTTTCAGTCAACTGGAGATCGGTCGAAGTGTTGCGTTTCAGAACAGAAAGAGAAATATTTCACACCGTTCTTTTGTGAATGATTTGACCACATCAACTTTAGACCGTTACTGAATGCAGATGCCTGGCCTAATCTAGAGTATGTATGTGTAGTGGAATGTAGACTGATCATAAGACAGTGGTTATTGCAAGTGTTCTTTAATAGATATGACATTTTGGATTGAGGTATCCTTTTGCATGAAGCTACCTTTCAGATCATTTGAATGTGACTTTCCTCTTTTTCCATTAAAATATTCTTTGTTTATTTGGCAGTTAAATGAATAGAAAATCGAACCCCCAATAAACAGTGTGTTGGTGTCTGAACAAAAACGTTATTTGCGGCTTGTAAACTCATCTGCATGACATCCTAGGCCCGATCCTCAGTATGTATCTCTATCAATGTCTGTGAAGCTACGAGGATTTCCCCCAGCTGAGGATCTGGTCCTGTATTTCTAAGACTCATTGGTTTAACACATGTGCCATACTCTAGTCCAGGGACCATGATTTGGTTGTTGGCTTTGTTTTTGTCCATTTCTTTCCCCATTTGGAAATACTGGGCCAGATCTTCAGCCGATGTAGATTGGCATAACTCTGCTGCAGGCAGTGAAACCCACTGATTTACACCAGCTCAATATCCGGCTCTGTATTTAAGCCCATTGCAGAATGTCTGGGGTGGGGGTACATTTCGGCAGCAAGTGCAAGGCTTATGCACCGGTTAAGCCTTCAGAATTGGACATATTCTTTGCAAAGGGGTGAGTTTCACCCCTAGGCACCAATTGTGACAAAGGAGTTGGGGTGGGAGGGAACAGCATTCAAACAGAATGAACACAATCTCTATATTGTAACACAGGGCACTCACTTGTGCCAGCCAAGCTTTTGGGGGGCTCTTCTCCATAATGCGGATTACAGGCTGCAGTGTAGTAAGAAGAGCATGTTTTGTTCTTGTTTTTAATTGAATCATGCGGGGGTTGGAGCGGGGGGGTGGGGGAGACGTATAATTTTAAATCACAGAGGGTCGGGGGGAAAAAAGATTCATGAATTCAAACTAGTTATTTTAACCCCCCAAAATAAGTTGAGAGGTTCTGAAAACTTCTAGCTCCCCCGGGGCAGCTTTTCCCTAGCTGCTTGTGCCACTTTGCTCTTTAAAATAGAGCTGATGATCGCATAATGAACTCATACCACATAGAACTGCCTCGGCACCCAGCAGCGAGCTCCTAGGTTGAAAGGCCTGGTAAATATCCTCCGACTGCCTCCTCTGAAATCTCCAGGGGCTGGATCCAACTCCTCTAGAAGTTTAATGCTTGGAGGCACATCTAATTTTGAGTTAATGGAAAGACTTCCAGGGGCAGATCCTCAGCTGGTGAAAATGGTCCTAGTGCTATTTGGGAGGCAGTGTTGCCTAGGAGATAAAGCACTGCAGTGCAACTCACAAGACCTGGCTTCTATTCCCCGTTCTATAGTTGTACCTGTACAAAAACTGTGTGTGTATCCCAAGCTTTGCTCAGGCTGAGTATTACTTAGAACCCTAAGCCTCAGTGCCGTGTCTCAGGATACAAAGCCAAGGGCATAGGCCCTCTATTAAATTTGCCACCGTTACTTCTCTGCTGTCCGCTCTTCTTCCAGGACTGCTAAAAGGCCCGCTTTGTGTGTCATTTCCCCCACTTGCAGAAATGGGAATACTGATGTTATTGTTTTGCCCATCTTGGGAAAGTGCTTTGAGCTCGTCAGATGAAAAAGACTCGGTGGATGTTTGGCTATTGCTTGAATGGCACTTTGTACATTGCCGATACCTTACAAGGGCTTGGGCATTGCGCTGTGGTTCACTGTGAATGGAATTTCAGTGTATCTGATCCCACTGTATTCCTCTCCCCATAAAACCTCTACTCCATCATTTACCGCGGCTGGTCACGCAAACTTTGTCTAGACGCATCCTAGATATGAATAATGGCAATAGCCTTTGGTTGGCCTCTTTATTAGGATAAGTGACTATTAACTGTATTGGATTAAAAACACAGGCTACGTGAATAAAAAATCCCTTCAAGAGTTTACTTCCAATAACAATCAGGCACCGGGCACTTTCTAGAAACTAACAGAGCAAGCCAGTGGCTCATTAATCCCCAGGAGGTTATTGCTAATATAATCTGAACATGGAAAAAAAAGTCATAAGGATTTCTTAGTGTGTATTTCTAAAGAGTTAATGCTCTTTATGGTACATTGCCCAGTCTGATCAATTGAATCATTTCCCAGTATTCAGTTAAATAACAATTTCCAGTAGCCGTTATCTTTGGGGGTATTTATTGTTTCCTGTGGAACTCAATAAAAAGGATGCGGAACTTTCTGTTAATGAGGCCACTGATTAATTTCATCCTCTGTTTTATTGGATTAAAAGCCTCAGGTACCAAACCATTTCTATTAAAAACGATATGATTTCTACCCTTTATACAGGTTGGTTTTGATAGCTCTAGGCAGTTAGCAGTGGGTAATGCTACACAAAGCTGCTGTTTACCCTAATGACAAGGAAGGCCACGGTGGTGAGTTAAAAAAAGCTTCTGTGATCATGAAATTTGCCAATATTGTGTTATTCAGACATTGCTATCGAGATTATAAGCACTACCATGTGCTGGAGGATAAGAACAGCTGTTTATTTGAAAGTGATAGGTAAGCATTTGATTTAAATTAGACGGCACTACACTAATAATAGGAGGACTTGTGGCACCTTAGAGATGAACCAATTTATTAGTGCGCTGTAGCTCACGAAAGCTGATGCTCAAATAAATTGGTGAGTCTCTAAGGTGCCACAACTCCTCCTGTTCTTTTTGCGGATACAGACTCACACGGCTGCTACTCTGAAACCTACACTAACAATAGTACTTAATAACTAACAATGAAGTCTGGGATTTTCAAAGGAGACCAGCGGTGTTAGGCACACATTGAAAGTCAATCGGAATTGGGTACCTAAAGCTGTTAGGCCCCATGGGAAGCCCCAAGCAGTAATAGCAATAATCCTTTGCATTTCTAGCAGCACCTTCAGATCTCAAAGCTTTGGTTTCCCAAGGGCTTTGTTTCTGCCATTTAACTGCCTTTTGGTAAAGCCTGAAAACAGGCAGCGAGTCTGTCAGGGTTTCCCCCATATCCTCTTTGGAAAGGTGCAGAGCTTGAAAACCCTAACGATGTGTATACAAAACCCGGCCCAATAAAGGCAGTGGGAAATCACACAAAGGCTCCCTGCAAGCCAGCTCTTCCCAAGGAGGTAATTGGTACAAGAGCCGAAAAACAAAGCTTTGCGGATGGCTTAAAACACACAGGACCAGGCGCACAAAAGCAGTTAGGCTCCTGACAGCCAGGGACCTTTTAGGAATACAGCAGAGCCTGCTTATAACTTGGTCATAGTGAAATGCTACTTTGTAGTGATATCCCATGGTGCTTCATGGCATTTCAATGGACTTTGGCTCAGATCTTCAAAGGTACTTCGAGGCGTAACTCCCAGTGGGGAGTTTGACTTTGAGGCTCTGGTTCTTTCATTCCGCTGTGTTCTCATTTCACTCATATTCCACTCTACTAATTCCCTTCCAATAAAGCCATTGGACAGCTCCTCGTGTAAAGTCAATGGAGCACGGCCGGTGTATATCAGCTGACGATCTGGCCCATCATCAGCTAACTTAGCAGTGAAATGCTGCATTCGGAGGGGTCTCTCTTCCTGTGAGCTTGCCAGAAGGACCCCTAAATTCTAGGTCTGTCTATAGTTGCTCCTAGACCTGGTCTATGCTGGGGGCCTGATTCTTTGCTGTTCTCCAGCTTGTGCAGTTACTGACACCCGTGCAAAGCGTTAGCAGATCAGGCTGGTAGTGTTTTCAATCCACATTGCACAGGGGTGAAGGGCTGCACCAGGTATAGGGTGAGGGAGAATCTGCCTCAGAGAAGTTTAGGGAATTCCTCCCCCACCACTGTAGGGCAGGTGCCGCTCCACTGCCCAAGCCCTGTCTATGCTCCCAACTGTGGCTTGCATTAGTAGAAGATTTCTGCAAAATTCTCAGTATAGCTGCAGCCCTGGGGAGAGGAACAGCTTTTGTTCCAGCTGTTCTCCCCTGGGAGTGAAAACATGGTTCCCCAGAGATGTCTCTACGGTTGCCTGCACCCCTTGAGATCTCAAGGAGCCATGAAAAGTCCTGCTACTACTCCCAGCATTATGAGGTGGGGCTGTTGTTGTCAGGTAAGGTCTTTCTTGTTACTATAAGCTCTAAGGGTCTCTTTGTGTGCATGGATAAACTCCAGCTCACCATGCAGATGGCAAAGGCTCTGATCCTGCAAACACTTAAGTATGTGCATAACTTTGCTCTCCTGTGGAGTGTATGAGGGTTATTTACATGATTAAAGTTCCCTATGGGCTTAAGGGTTTGTAGGTTCAAAGTCTAGGGGCCAGATTCTCAAGAGTATTTAGGTGCCTAACCCCCATTGATTCTAATGGGAGTTAGGTGCCTAAATACCTTTGAGGATCTGGACCTAAAGCTTCTGTTAGCAGAGCATTTGCTAGCTGTAGTGGATACAATGGGAATGGAGGAAAATAACTGAATTGGCTGGTGATTTATTTTACGACTGGGATATAAAATTCTAATTAGTGGCCTACACTTAAAACAATCAGGGGTTAAAGCCCTTTCTGCATATCAGCAACACTGTGTGCACTAAACTCAATTTGATTAAATGTTTTAATGAGGGCGAGACAATTTAGGAACATAGTTGGAGACTTTGGAAGCAGCGGGGAAAATGCCCTCCGCTAAGGCGATGCTGGGTGCTGTGCAGGAGCAGTGGTGTAATGACTTGGGAGGCTGATCAACATTGTCACCTGTGATTATCAACCTGATTAGGCTCAGCTGCATTTTGCTCAGGCCCTGGCTGTCTGCAGTAATCCTGTCGTCAAGGAGCTGAGCTTAACTCCTGGGGAAGAGAAGGATCCAGCTTGCCTGGTGAGTGAGATGTAACACAGCAGAGTCTGGGTCTATGGAAACTAGGCTAGAAAACCCAGATGCAAAGAAGAGCAGTCCTCTAATGCAGAGGAGAAAACAGCCAGGGAAATACAGGTATCTATGCTTATTTACTAGTCTCTTCCTAGAAGGGTGAGATCAGGGGTGTTCTGCTTCTGTCTGTCTCTCTTCTTCTCAAGCTCCACCCCTCATACCACTTGCCTGGCAGCAGAAGTAGTGCAGTCTCTCCTTTATTGCCTGCCTCCTGCAAAGCAGGGGTGGGCATGACTGATGTAGCACCCATAGACAGATGTATCAGTGACACCCCCATCTGCCCAAAGCTGACCCTCCCATGTGTTCCATGCAGGAAGACCTAT